ACCAAATAGAAAGTTGTAAAGACCAAACTTGCTTGATTTTATACAAGGAATCCAACCATATAATTTTCAAAAGCTATAGATTAAATATTGAAATAAATTATGCTCAGTACCAAATTGACACCCTAATGGTTCAGAAACTTTAGTTCCAAAATTCTCATCACATAGTTAATTAAAATGAATCTTAAGGACATGGTTAGCTTTAGAGTGATGATATCTACATTTCTCTTCAGGGAGTTTATGCCAATGATACTTGTATGAAGGTATCACAGTTTGGAAAACATACCTCTTGAAGTGAAAACTTAGAACGCGTATAGATGCTTCCAAGTGCAAATAAATGATGCCAAAATCTTCCTTGGACCTCCCTAAATGTGTTCTAATGCTTATATTTCCTTAAGACTCAATGAATCATCCTCCCTAACTCAATATGCAGAGATCGGGTTTGAGAATGGAAGATGCTGATGGAGATGTTCCAGAAGTTGTTCAGGTGTTTGGACAACTTCTATATGATGTACCTAAGGTTTTTGAATGATAAAAGAAGAAAACGTACAAGTGGGTTTGACGTTGAATATTGGAACTTTAAATGTGCAACAATGGTGGTTTTGAGAGTGATTTTGGGTTAGAGGTGTTTCAGGGGTGAATGGAAGTGATGAATAACGTCTAAATGATGTTTAGAAAGTGTTTTGATGATCTCTAAATGATTTTTAGAAACTTTATAAATGATATAGATGGAAAACACACCAGTAGAATGAGAAATGGACGTTTGAGGCTTGAAGAACTTTCTACAATAGTGTTTTTTGGTGAAAATTCTGGTGTGTTGAGTTCTGGGGCATGGAGAGGTATTTATAGAGGTTAAAAATGGTCCCTCTAACTTGCAGAAATCAAAGTCAGTTCCTATGGGAGTATGGTTTGGTCATTTGGTTTCAAATTGCACAAAAAAGCAAGTTGTTACATGATGAAGAAAAAGAGTGATTTAAGGGAATTTGTCATATTTTACTAGCTGTTATAAGATTGCCTCTGATCACAAAGATTGTTTGTAATCTTTGGAACAAGTCACAAGCTTGAATGAATAGAGTGGATAGCATAAACTTTCTTTATCAAAGCGGATATGTTACTTTTTGCAAATTCAACCATAAGTGGTATCAAGATTTGGAAAAAGCATCAAATCCTTGTGTAATACACTTAGGGCCTGTGTATTTACTTAATTATGAAGTGATTTGGAGATAACATAGCCTGAAATGAGAGATCTTATAGCTTTGGTTGGAGGTTTGGCCATAAGGTCATCAAAAAATGACTTATGATTCAAGTTTGAATGGCCAACTTCTTCTCGTCGAATATCCTAGCTCAATAATGATATATTTGTGTTCTTTGACATTTTGTAAAGCTTGAATCAAGATCTACAACTTTCATGTTTTGAGTTTTTGCTGAATCAATTTGGATCTTAGTGAAAAATGGCCATAAAGTAGTGACTTTGTTAAGAACAAAACACTTAGAAATTTTTCTAAGTGTTTGGAAAATTTTCCAACTTTTGACTTTTGTTGAATTTTTTTATTCTTGATGATCAAACTTGATAATTTTGAATATTTTGATGATTCTTGATTTCTAAATTTCAATGTTGACCAAAAATTCAAAGTTTGACTTTTGTGTGACTATTGACTTTTTATCAATTGATTCCATTCTTCAACTATCAATCACTTGTATCTTTGGAAATGTATTGAGCCATGTAATTAGGTCAAGATGTTGTATTTGAGCCCTTGAGATCATTCTTTAAGCCATTAGGTCATGCATTTGGCCAGAAGTCAAAGATCAGTCATCTTCAATCAAAACCCTAATTTGGCAACTTTTAACCTTCGATGATTTGAGGGATTTCCTTGAGGAATCGTGATCAACCCTTGATCAAATGATGAATATCACTTCAAAATGTTGATGTTGACAAAAAATATTAAAGTTTGACTATATGTTGACCAAAGTTGACTTTTTACCTCATATAGTTGACTTTCAATCTTTCGAGCCTTTGACTGAGCAAACATGTGATGCAAGCCTTGAAGCTTGACATAAGCATTACTGAGGACCCATGATGAACCATGAAAATAATTTGAGACCCTTGCAAACCAATATTCCTTGAGAAGCACAAAACCCTAGCTATAGACCCTTGCTTAGGAGGAGGTTTAACCAGTAAACTCTTGAATAGTTTTGAGTATTTGAGACCTTTGTGACCATGTTTTGAAGAAAATGGGAAGGAAAATTTTGGGGTACAACACTAATATAATCATGTACAAATAAATAAACAAAAATCATAAAAAAAACACCTAAAGAATAGAAAACAAGAGCTAGGAGTAACTCCGGGATGGACCAGCATTTGGTTGGCCTCTTCCCTAGTGAAGTCGCCAGCTGAAACAACCGACTGAATAAATCATCGAGATGAAATCAATAAAGTCGCCATCAAACATTTTTTGTCCCACGGGAAGGGAAAGATAAACATCAAGTAAACCTAAGAAGGGTGAAATCAATATCATACGACCGAGAGATCAGGTAATGGAGTATGTTACACAAGGGGAAGGTATTAGCACCCCACACACTCATAGTACTCTCTGGTATCCACTCTTGTTGTTCTAATCAAAGTGTGGGTTCAAATATAATGCTTAAGAGCTAAAAGAAAATGCAAAGAGGGAATGTATGCAAAAAAAAGAGAAAATAATGTAGGGAAAAGAAAGTTGTGCTCGCTTAGACCCTACCCCAATGCCTACGTATCCTTTTTTAGGAATCAGAGTTATCATAGTCCGGCTCACATGTTTTGATTTGTTTTATGTTTTTTAATGAACAAAATTAATTTTTATTTCTACCGCAGCTCGACCTTTGGAGACTCACGCGTCAGCACATAAGTGAATTAATATGCTCTTTTGAAAAGTTTGAAAGAAAAGGGCCCGAAGGTGCAAAAGAGTTTGCATTGGTTGATGTTTTTTACCTTGAAGAAAGATTTGATAGTTTTTAGATGTTTTATGATTTTCCAAGAAAAATGTTTTAGTTTTAATGCAAGAATGCAAAAGAAAGAAAAAACATATAAGGGAAACTAGCTAGAATTTAATCCCTAATGTTATCATACAACGATTGATCCTAAGGTTGAGTTTTGAAAGGGAAATCTCTAACCTACGTTAGCATGCATGGATCATAATCCTAGTGTCTATCTCGAATCACTGCCAAAGGATGAATCAAGAAGTCCTAAGGGAGCATAGCAGAGGTCTACAACCTAAATCTATGTCTATCTCAAGTCACTTCCAAAGGATGAACAATAATCTCCTAAGGGAACATGCCAAAGATTCACAACCTAAGAAAACATGTACACAAGGATGGAAAGCAAGTAATCCACAAGCTCAAGAGAGCACATAAATGGTGAGAGTAGTTCACATTATCTCAAGAAAAACGACCTAACCAAGATATCGTGAATCGAGGTAGGTAAAAGAAAAATCAAGAGAAGTTATTTAGCTAAGGGGAACAAATCACCCGAAGAAAATAAGCGGGATTTGTAAAAGTAAAAGAATAGAAATGCTTTAGCCAAGGGGAGTGGATCACCTGAAGCAAACAAGTGGGTAGCAGAGTGTCAACATTGGTTAATGCGAACTCGTGACAAAGTGTGGGGGTTGGGATAAAACCCTTTTCCATATGACCGACTTGATACACAACATCTGCATAAATTCGAAGCATCGACGTACAACGTGAGCTATGGATGACACTGACTAGAATGTGCGAGGGTTGGCTACTAACCCTTTTCGCTCGCCTCCTTTTGAGGACTTCAATAAGTGATGGGGAATAGATGCGAGTGCTAATGTAAACACACGTGCAAAATACCTACTTCAAAGGTAGGATTTTAAGCAAACACAAATAACATACAAAAAGCGGTGCCTGCTACAGGACTTTAAACAGCGACTTCAAGTGCACACTCTTTATTTCCTACTTCTCATGATATCAAGAAAGCAGTAAAGTGTTGAAAGATAAACCAAATTCAGAATGATACCAAACGAACATAGTTCGTAGCAAAGCAAGCAAAACAGAGAAACCCAAAAAACTTCGAGTAAGCTTCACCAAGCAATAGAGAAGAGTCATAAATCAAATGCTCGGAATAAGTGTCAAAGTATCATTGATTTGAAAATAAATCACAATCGGAAACCCAAGCATATCCATATATCACACAATAAACCTGCGTAAGACTCAGATCTCGACAAGCAAAGGTGAATAAAAAATCTCAAGTAATCGGATACTCATGAATTATTTCCTAAAGTAAAAAAAAAACTAACCAATTTTTATTGGTTTTATAATTTTTAATCACGTTGAGAAAATTGAAACAATTAACAAAATAAAAAAAATAAAAAAAGAATTTTCAATAGGATGAGCCCAGGGGGTGTTATCCATGATCAAGGGTGCTGAAGTAAGGAATTGGTGCTAAGTCCATCAGATTTGGTCCAGAATCAGTTTTTTATACTTTAATAAAAATCAACTTCCAAAAAATGGTCATGGGCCTCAAGAGAATATGATCAAGTCCATTTACCAACATATCTCCCCTAATCTTTTATTTTAAATGAATTTCAATTGAAAGAATTAACAAACATACATAAAGTATTGAAGGATAAGAGGGAAACACATTCGTTTTCTCCTGTTAGGGTTAAATCTTGTTGTGACTATTCATCATCTCGTGATTATCTTATCTTCTCTTCAACCTTGGGCCTCTGGAAATCATTCCTCTGCGACCTTTGGGTTTTCGTTCAACAAAACTTAAGCTACAACATAGTACGGAGGATGATGCAAAACGGCGAAGGATAACGAGAGAATGTCTTTTACCTAACAGAGTATCGTATGGTGCACCTTCACTGTGATAATGGTCGATTAGAAAACCAGAGAATAAGCCCTAGAGATTCAGGTGTGTATCGTTGCTTTCAGTCTATTTCTGATTCAATTTTCTCCTTCTACTATCCGCGAGTGTTTCACATTTTGTTGTTGTTAATACAAATTCAATTATGCGATGAATTTTCGGAAGATGATGAAGATGTATGGAAGATTCGTAGAAGGTGATGATGAATGATGCATAAGTGTTTGTCGATTGAAGAATGAAAGAGGAAGATGTGAAGTAGTTGCGGATTGTTGAAGGTGAGAGGGACGTTGAATATTGAAGAACTGATGGTGATTAATGAAGGTTGCAAAGGTTTGAAGAGAAAGAGTGTTGGTTGAAGATGATTGAAGGTTTCCGAATTGTTGCAAAGCAGTGATGATGAAGGTCCCAAACGTAATGCAGAGATGGATCTGGTTCTTGCAGATTTGTGGAAGACGAAGTAAAAAAAATCAAGATTCAGTTCCCCTTGCAGAGAGATAGTTTTAGAAGTTTTTCCAGTGATTTTGCAGAAGGATGATCGCTGAAAAATTGAGATTAGACAAGAACTTTGAAGAGGATGAAGCAGAAAGCAGAGGGAGAGAGAGTTCTCAGATATTTTTTGGTGGTGATTCTTCATAAATTGGAGAATGATTGAAAGTTGAAGAAGGAAGCAGGGAGAAGATGGTGATTCTTCTGATAGGATTTGAAAGTTTGTTAGACCAATCAGTTAGAGATGAAGAAGTTAGTTATAGTGAAATTGCATCTTAGCCGTTGGTTTGAATTTCTGTTAGAGAAATTAGAGGGCTAGGATTAGACAGTTATAAGAGCTTTAAAGTTAGTTAGGGGGCTGATAAGCTGGCAAACTCTTTTTGAAGTTAACTGTTTTTTGAAGTTAACTATAGGCTTGTATAATTTTCTGTTATAGGGTAGTTAAAAGGCTGAGTTACAAATGTTAAAACTGTTAACAAAAAGGTTTGGAAAAATTTAAACTGAAAGTGAAAGTTCAGGTTTGGAACTCTGGGTTTGGAGCCGAGTTAGTCTCTTGGTGATTTTGTATTAGCGAACCGTTTTGTCCTCGAACTGAACCAGGTTGATATGGATAATTGAAGTTCCATTTTTTGTTTGTTTTGGATCTATTTCTAAACTGTTGGATGAGTTTGAGGATGATGTATCAAACTTTGGGTTATGCAGGTTAGGAATAAGTGGAGGATCTATTGAATATGGATGCTGAAAAATGTATCGCAGGTAAATGTATCGTAGGTAGAAGCATGGCTTCTTTATATTGGTCTGCATTCGAATTCTCATGGGATACTACCCTTGCTGCTATTTTCTTTTTCTAATTTTTCTGAGCTGAACTGATTCTTGAACTGGTTTTCTTTTTTTCTGTTTATGCAGGGCAACGATTTCTTGAAGCAACACTTAGGGAATCTAACAATAAGATGGATACTTTGAATGATGAAAGCTAAATTCATCAACTCTTAACCAATTTGGCAAGCGCATTAATAAGAAAGTTCTTGATTCACAAACCAAAACGCAATCCTTGTGTCCAAATTCACACTTTTGAATCCTCAAGAAGAAATCCATATGCTCATGACTTGCAAAGTAAGGAATTAGAAGAAACCCCTTGGTGAAGAACAAGTTGAAATTGTGGGAAAGAATTAATGATGATCCATATAGTAATGGTACCAAAACCTAATTCAATAATCCTTGAGGAAGAAACCTCAATTGAAGCACACTAACTATAAAACCCTAACTTTGATCATATATAGGGAAATAACCCCTAATAGCCTTGTAGTTTGATGAAACAAGAAATTCTCAATGACCACGGATCACAACCCTAATTCCACTGCTCATTGCTTGAAGAAGAAATCAGCCTTTATTGGATATATACATCTCAGTCAGTGACAACCCTAACTTGCACAATCAGCTGATCTTTTGAATCATGGCACTTTATTGAGTAAAAATGCAAATGTATGTTATGTTAATGCAGACGACCTAATGAAAAGATGTGTATACAATACTAAGCCTAAGCCAGATAAAAGAAACTAGGAGGGAAAATTTTGGGGTGCAACAACTGCTCCTATTTAATCGTCTTTAACCTGAAGGTGAGATTGACACTAGCCTTTCGAACAATAAAGGTGAAAGAGGATTGAATACTTAATAGAACCGTAAAATTTATGCTCTGAAACCAGATGGGTATTATTATATTATTTGTTTTTTTGTATTTATTATTTTTGCGGCTAGTGGTTATCAAGGATGAATGTATATCAGGTCAAGGTTAGACACACATCAGAGAGATTTGATATCAAGGAACATGTGTGTGGAGCTAGTAACAAACACAGACAATAGAGACTGGCTAAAGGAAGCCATATCAAAGATATCAATGATATACGTCTGGAGGAAAGGACATATACGTCTGGAGGAAAGGACATATACGAAAAATATCGAATAGAGATGCCCGAAGCTGGTAGCGGACACAAGAAAGAGATCATATGAAAGGAATCGTGTATTGTTCTTCGATGAAGTTTTGAAGCAAATCCAAGTATGTTTGTTAGTCAAGAGTCTTGACTAAACTGGTTGCATTAGGTAGGGATTAGGCGAGAAGTTGTAAATGGGGGAGTTTAGCTTTGAACTAATAGTGCTGATAGTGGACTTCCTTCCTTGCTTGGTATCCCCCAAAGTAGGTGTTATTGTACACTGAACTGGGTCATCATATCTATGTGTTACTATCTTTATATTTTGTTCAGTTTTTGTTTTTTGATTGATTAACATGTCGCATAAGATGTTGGAACATCTTTTATGACTAAGGACTGATAAGTTTGTATCATTCTGTTGTATTCTGTCCATGCATTTTTTTGCAAAGAACCATGTCTCAACATGTGTTAGGAAATTTGTAATTTGTATAGAAGAATTTCTGATAATTTTTGTTCTTGTTGGATTGATTCTAATTGAGGAGTGATAATGATCCAGAAGATGCTTTATTGTTGTATAGTTATAATCTTTCAAATAGTTGAATATTATCTTCAGATATATAAGCGACAACTTATCTAATGTATAATGTCTTCTTTGAGCGAAAGCATTAGCTTATTGTCAGCTACATCTTTGTTGTCTGATCATGAATTCGTTTCTTCTTTGAAAGCGTATATGTTTTCTGACTAAGAGGGTTCGTTCCTTCTTTGAAAGCGTATATGTTTTCTGACTAAGAGGGTTCGTTCCTTCTTTGAAAGCGTATATGTTTTCTGACTAAGAGGGACGCTTTCCTGAGAACATGCTTAATTCCCTTTCTGATGAACATTTAGCATTCCTTAAAACTACTGATATTTCTATTAGAGAAGGTCATAATAGTTCTTCTGTTGAGTGCAGTGGTACTTCTGATGGTGTCCTTGTTCTTGTCAATATTCTTTCAGCTTAGTAGATTTGATTGAGATGATATAATCCTTTGATCTTGTCTTCTGATGGAATTTTATAATGTTGATTAGAAATGAGTTCAAAAGATCTTATTTTCTTTGATATGTTCTTCTTATGGAATACTTATGATGTTGAATGAAAGTGTGTAACGCCCCAGACTGCATTTAGGATTATCGATTGACCCCACAAACCAACACGAGTCTTTTCAGCATATTTTGGCCTCACTCGCACGCTTTCCGAGAAACTTCCCAGAAGGTCACTCATCCCAGAATTGCTCTAAGTTAAGCACGCTTAACTATGGAGTTCTTATGAATGAGCCACCGAAAAGAATATGGATCTTGTTGGTATAGGTAGTACTAATTAATCCTTATAACATTGAGCATGTACTTGAACCCCAGGGTACAGGGTTCGATTCCCACGAAAGGCAAAAACTCTACTAGTTAGGAGGGTAGAGAAGATCGTGAGGTAATAGTTCCGAGAACGCTGAAGGCTCGGGCTGTTACAAAGTGCACATTCCATGAATTCTGAGTCTTTAAAATTTTGACTCTGTCTTCAGAAACATGAGCAACAACTCTTCTGATGAACAAATATTGACTTCTGATCTTGAAGTATAATCTTTATCCATATGTGTTAAGAATCTTGACTTCGTCTTTAGAATTATAAGCATGAGCTCATTTAATGAACTAGTCTTGTCTTCTAATCTTCTACATTGAAAGCTTTTTTCTTGTACCTTCTTAATTTCTGATCTTGAAGCAACAACTTATCATAAACTCTTTCTTCTTGAACACTCATTGAGATTCTTTTCTTGTCAAACATTCAACATTCCATAGAACTATTGATGTTATTTTAGAAACAAAACTCAATGGTTCTTCTTCTGAGTGATAAGGTGATTGTGATGATATCTTGATTAAGACTATCTAGAATATTAACAATGTATATGCACACTCAATGAAACCATTATAACTAAAAAAAATTCTGCATAAAATATATGCTTGTTAGCATCAAAACATAGATATTAAACACATATCCAAATCTTGTTCTTACAATCTCCCCCTTTTTGATGATGACAAAACCATGTATTTTGATGGAACAATTTTACAGGGTTAAACCATAAACAAAATAAAATAAGAGTTTGGAAAACTCACCCTAAGTTGGAAACTACCCCTGGGATAAACAATCTCCCCATGAATTATCAACTTATGATCTTTCAGAGCTTAGGAACAATGTTTATCCTTTTTGAATATGATTTATCATCATTGATTTAACCTTTAAGCTTATCAGATTATTCATCCTTTCTTAGAACATTATAAATAATAGTCGTTCTTTACCAGGACATTATTTATTAGAGTGAATGCAATATTTAGAGTGTCATTTAAACTATAGGGTTTAAAGAAATTTTATTAATCAAAATCATTTTTATTTCTCCCCCCTTTTTGTCATAATAAAAAATATTTAAGAAATGCTTATTTGAAAAAAAATCACATCTGACTAAATAAAGAAAGAAACTTGAATAAAGAAACAAAGTACAAAGACTTAGAGCAGACAAGAAGACAACAAACACTAATTTAAAATACACATTAAAAATAGACAGAAGGACACAATAAGAATACACTTATTTAAACCACTAGTTATCAAAAGTTTCACATCTTTCGTCTTTAAATTTTACGTCAGGACCACCGCCAATCCTACGAATAATTTCCATAATATTTTCCTTGATAAGAACTTCTATTAGAACTCTTCAATATGGAATAAAAGATTTATTCATGACTCTGGAAATGGTGATACATTTGTTAAGATAATTGAATATGACTTGAGGTAGATCTAAAGGAGTACGCTTGAGTAGACCGGGAATTAGAAGCTTATCATCATGATACATAAAGTATTTGTGGAGACCACGAGGACGGAGATTCATCAGAATAAATCGAAACCATCCTTTAGAGATAGGCAGAAGCTTTTCAGGGTTTGTAGATGTTGCACCCCAAAATTTTCCCTCTTTGTTTTAACTTTGATTGGCTTATACTTTGTTTGCATATACACATGCATGTATATCATTAGTTCCGTGTTCATGGGGTCAAGTTATTTGGTCAACACGACAAAGCTCTCATAAATTTTCAATGCATGTTTGAGTTGTGGAAGATTTGCATGTTTTCGGTGAATTTAAAATAGTGCGAATTGGAAACAGTGTTTTGACTGATCTGAGTTTGAAAATCCGCATCTCCAGATTGGAAT